ATCCATCAGGGATGTAAAATACCCCTTTTCTGTTCCAAACCCAAGCTCTTTTGCAGTTCAGGTTAAGATGCTTCATTTTGGACCTGCAGACCCTTCTCCCTCCCAGCCATGAATACCTGCACCAATGCACAGGGCCTCACATACGAGTAGACCAAATATATCATGCATACACCCCGCCTTATCACTCCTACTAGAGCTGTATATAGAAGCTGTCCTTAACAGTGGGCCCCAAATATCCACCTCAGTGTGGAAACCAAGCATCTCTCAGTTGGACAGATGGGGAAAGTAAAGCTCCAGCTGAACTGATACCACCCAGGATAATCTACACTAGAACTGGTGTAGGAAAAAAACCCCAAACCACAGGAAGATCTCTGGTCCTTTTTTGCTAGAGCTGCCAGGCTATTCGAGCTTTGGTGCCATGCCAAAATGCCTCAAGTCCTGCAAATCTGGTTATTGACAACACTAGCAAACATCAGGGGCTGCTGATGAAGATGCTGGTGGCACAATGGACATACTAAGCTAAGTGTACGTTCGTCCTCGTGCATCTATACATCTATGGTAGTGCTACAAAACATCACTAATCAAGTTGGCCAAGCCTCTGCATGAATTGTTACAGGGATGGCCGAGCACCACTGTCCTTCACAGCACACCCTCCTCTGGTCCTGCAGTTACTAGGGCATCTTGAGGGCAAATAGGCAGCCCACTCTCATTTGCCCTATCCCTCACCAGCTTCTAGAGGAGACTGAGGTCACACACACACTTTTCTGCTTACAGAACGCAAAGGGGACTGCACAAAGACTGATTTATGGACACAGAGCTCCAGACGTGCTATAAAACCAGCTTCATGCTTTATGGTAGTGGAAAAAGATTTAGGAGGGAGAAAAGAAAGCAAAGTCCAATGGTTCTGCTCATCATTCTTCAAGCAAATCAAACACATTTAGGCAGGCAGTTGTTTGAACTACCACCCCTCTGAAGCTCCTTTTTGACCCAGGACAGGATATGTTCCTCTGGCTTAACCAAGAATCCCTTAAAGAAATCCAAATCCTTCCTTTCCTCTCCACATCACAGAAAACATCTCCAGTTGCCAAAGGAGAACAGCACCCATTTAACACCAGTTCTCACTGCCAGCAGTAGAGGAAGGCTGCAGAACACAGGTCAGCCAGGTGTGAAGCGTTCACAGCGGCAGGAGCAGCAGCCAGGCAGGACCCTGGAAAGGCGCCGTGCTCGCAAGGCGGGCAGTGAGGGAGGACAGTCCCTGCCTGGTCTGCCTGTGCCCTCTTGTGGCTGCCTGACCGTGCTGCACAGGGCAGGACAAACCGTCAGAGAAATAGAGGCTGTTCTCTCTTGCAAAGAACGAAGATTCTTGTATTACTTTTTAATAAAAACTCTGTAGGATCCTAAGAAAATGGTAAAAATTGATGCCCCACTCTGGAGACAGCTCTCAATTCAAAATTTAGCTGATTAACACAGGATAGCTCAGGAGACGAGAGGCAAAAAGCAACTTTAGTCATCTATGCAGAGCCCACACTGGACCCATCATGGAAGGGATGTGCAGACAGAGCTTCGAGTTTGGGACAACCCTTCTAATCACATCGCATCTGCTGCTGGCCCTGGCAGCTGCCTGCCACCTCCTCCTTGCAGGGGGATTTGTTCTGTCTCTGCTGGCAGCTCCCCTCTGCTCACAGCCCTGCTTTGCTCCAGCACTGGCACTGCGGGCACAAGCAGGACAGACACCAGCAGCTGCTTTGTGACAGCTGGTTGGCTTCCTTCTCCATGCCCAGATGAAAAATGGTAAGATCATTTTTAAAAAAGGCGTAGGACCTTTGGGCAAGCATCGCTGCTATCTGTTGGGGTTCTCCACATCCCAGACCTGGCAGCCCCTTCTTCTGGGTGCTTGTTGAAACTGAGCTGCCTCCAGTGTCTTTCTCTGTTTCCCATGATGTCAAATACTAAGGAGTGTGAATCCAGCCAAGGAAAAATCTTACGCACCCTCACTGACCTGAACAGGCCAGAGAAATCCGAGAGCAGCAGTGAGGTACCACTCATCCCATCAGAACGCGGCAGTGCCTACATCTACACTGAAATTGAAAGGGAAAAGGATGACAAAAGGATGATTTGGGGGCCTGTCCAAGAGTGTCTTGGGCCACTCTGAGTAGGGAGGGCACAGCACCCCAGTTCCTGGCTTTAAATACAGCGTGGAGATGGTCACAGTGATATTTCTGTCACTTATGGCAAGCATCGGTGACTGGGCCTCAAGAGTTGCACACAAACGAAAAAAACAGCAAAAGGCAATGACAACTGCTCAGCCCTGCAAGGGAAGGACGGAGTTCCTTGAATTAAGCGGCCTTTGGGACAGTCAGTAAACTGAAAGAAAAGCATTAAAACCCCAGTCCTCGAGGGCACATAGTGGCAAGAGAAGAACAAAGCACTTAATTTTTCTCTTGGCTACCAAGCACTCGCACCCCAACCAACCCAACCCTAGAACTGCAGCCAGACCTTTAAAGAGGTTAATAGCAAATTTTTATTTTCCTTTATTAAAGAGCAGGGCGCAACGATCCCGCTGTTGATGGAGTGACTTCATATCAATTTACAAATTGTTTTCTCTGCTTTGTTTTAAATGTAAGACCACCTTATACAATGCATTTCTCTAATTCCTTTCTTATCAAAGTGCTTTACAAAGTGACACTGGCGAGGGGGTGGCAATCCCACAAACCAAAACATCTCCTACATGGAGAGATCATCTCATGCCAGCGCTGCAATGCAGCCATGTCTGCTGTGCAATGTAGCAGCAAACAGCACAGGATGACATGTAGAGATCAAAAGGTCTAGAGGAACAGATACAAGGAGAAACTGTCAGGGACAGCATTTACCTGAGCTGAAATCTGCAGCCAGGGAAAAACATTTCTATTTTCTCCTCTGGAAAAGCTGATGTCAAATCACCTCAAGTCTGCAGACACCACCAAAAGAGATGCAGGTTTATCACTAGCTCAAGACTCAGCCAGACTGTTACCCAAAGGTGTCTTTTCCAAGCTTTCACTCCACATTTGACACACTCCTTTGGTGAAGCGCAGCAGATGTGTGCACTCATCTAGCTAGGGTGAGCACCATGCATGGGGGCACTCAGCTGTGGGGCACAAAAGCAAAACTGGGGTATGAACAACTTGGGCCTGGAGGTCAGCCCTTCCTAAGCAGGAGCTGGATTCACATCCAGTGTGTATTGTCAGGAATGTGCTCTCCCAGCTCTGGGGACAACTCACGTTTCACCTAGCTAACCTTGGCAAATACCATATGCCAGTATAGCTGTAAGGAAAGTAGTCCCCTGAGGAGCAACTCAGCAGCTTACTGCGAGTGTGCTCAGTGACAGAAAACCATGGGGGCCTTCCTACAGGAAGGTTCTCTCAGATCTGCTACGAAGCTTGTCCTTGTATTAAGTTCCAAACCAAAACTTTCGCCTTCCCTGTCTATTCCTCCCTTCCCTGAAAAAAACACTGCAGCTCTGTTAGTTTTCTTCCACTGAAGACACACAGCTCCTAGTGTAGCATCTCTCTCAGGAGAGGATGAAACTTAATGGAGCTGAGGATGATTATCCAGTTCCAGCCATCAACTTGCCAAGATGAGAGTTGTGATGATGGCATTACTCCCTTCCCTGAAAAAAACACTGCAGCTCTGTTAGTTTTCTTCCACTGAAGACACACAGCTCCTACTGTAGCATCTCTCAGGAGAGGATGAAACTTGCCAAGATGAGAGTTGCGATGATGGCAGAGGAACAGGGTGGCCTACCAGTCAAGAGTGCAGAAATACCACAGGAGATGAAACCTCCATGGCAGGCAGCAGCTGAGCTGATTCCACAGCCACTGAAAAAAAGGCTAAACTGGCTACAAAACACTGTCATGGCTTTAACAGAGTCCTGGACAGACAAACCTGGGCCTGAGCTCAAGCTATTGTGAGCCTCTGCATTCCAACAGCTTTAGTGACATCCTTCCCAGCACATTTTGAGGTATATAGGAACCTCAGCCACATCCCTTGTGCACACAACCATGTCTCCTATTTCCTTATTGGGCAAGGCAGCCCAGGAGAAGCTGAGTTTCTCAGTGGACATGAATCTCTAGATCTGATGCAATAGTGGGGAGGAAATGTCCAAGCTGGAAGACTGTACCCCAGCCTGGACATGCTCCATATGGAGACATAAGGAACCCAGCCTGGGCCTGTGGTTTCTATCCAAACAGTGGGGCCAGTACTGCCCCAGGCTACTGAGAGCAGGAACAGCTGAAAGGCATCTGTCTGGGGGTGAGGTTTCTAGGAGCACCACGGGGGACTTCTGCACCAAGGATTGTCACAGGGCACCACCCGCCAAGGCCAGCATCTGTCTCCAACAACTGCAGCAGATTCTCTAGGCCAGGAGAAAACATCCTGCACCAACTGCAGCCAAGCTGTGGCCAGCTGTGAGTTATGCAATTTCCCTGCTTGCTCTCTTCTGCTGAAAGCCCCAGGTGCACAGCCCTGGCCGCTGCTCTGGCTGTTCCCCCAGCCGGGATTACCCAGTGCCAGACTGCACCCTAAAAACAGAAACAAATCCCTCTTTGACACTCAGTTGGCAGAAAGCTTCTCTTGCAGGCTCCTTTAAAAAGGAGAAAGGAAGTACTTGGAAACAGGCTGTTCATGGCTCTCCATAAGATTATTGTGTGCTCCTGGCATTTATGGGGCCGTTGGGGGAGTGAGTGGTCAGCAGGACCTAGGTGTACGGCTGGGCACAGCACCCTCCACCCCAAAGGATGAGTGAAACAGATGGACAGACAGCCAGCATCTGTCCTGGAAGACTTGCTTATAAAGTGAAGGTCCAGGACTCCTGCCTTGCAGAGAGCCAACCTCAGACTATGCCAAAGCAGACTGCATATAAAAACAAGTCTTTTAAAAAATGGATATACACTGCATATAGGAGACTCCATAGAGGACAGTCTGTAGATGGCCACCCCAGAGCAGCCAGGGCCAGCCTGGCTCTGAGTGGGTAGCTTGGTAGCTGTATTCCAGTCACAGCTGAAGAAGTGGGACAGCTGAAAGTGGAACTTGTGCTTCTTGCTCCTTGATCAGCTTCAGGCAGAGGGAGGGTGGAGAGGGACTAAGGCCCACTGCAGGAGAGGCACTGCATTCATCTGTTTGGCAGACATTTGACAAGCCGTTCATACAGGTGCAGTTTCCTTCCATGCTCAGGCCTCTGCCTACATCTCACTGGCATAAAACCCAAGTTTGGCCAGAGACATCTCCCTCCGGAGCCGCATGACCTCCCAGAACATCAGCTCCACTGCAAAACAAAATGGGGTTGGGGAAGAGAAGGAAGAAAAAAACACCAAAACTCAGTAAGCAAGGCACAGCTGGACACCACCTCATGTTATGCTGTGCTCTCAGTGCAGCCCAGCCAGGCTCATCCCCAAAGTGAGGGAAGCAGATATGCTGGAGGGTCCAGCATGGACATGGTAAAGTCACCCGTTACCAGCTCCACCCCATGGCAAAGCTCCCAACAAGCTGGTGAGCAAGGAATGGGTGGATGTATTCCTCCAGCTCATGCCTCTTCTTTGCCATGTAACTGTTCCTCAGAGACACAGGGACTTCAGGGTACCCCAAGCTGGCCACATTCCTGTCACACTGAGTAGGACCTCTTAATTCCTCCCAGTGTCCCACAGATGACACCCCCACCACAGCCAGCTGCGATCCCCTCTTACCGTCCTGCCTCACCAAGCCCTGCTGGATGTAGCGAATGTATGTGAAGAAGTTGCACACCGCTGTGATCTGAGGAAGAGAAAGATGTCAGCTACAGAACTGCTCTGCCTGCTAAAAGAAGCCTTGTGCACAGCATCCAGCAAGAGAGCTCTTACTGTACGGCACCTAAGAAATCGTACTACATACCACCAGATGGAAAGAGATAGGAAGAAATCTAGTTAAAAACATCAAAATTCTGGGCATCTGCAATCCCATGCCAAGATATTGCACTATCCACAAGACACACTGTGCAAGAACTGCAATCTGCTGCAGATTTGAGACACAAGCGATCACTGCTTAACGTGGAAGCAAAGTCTGAAATCTTCCTTCGAAGAGCAGCACTCCTTGACTGAATGAAAAACTTTGGAGTTAAAGGTTTGTGCAGAAAATGCATGAGCAGGGGGGATAAGGGCATTCACGACACAGAGTACTCTGGTGCAAGGGACAAAAATTAGTCAACTTAAGTCGATGCACAAAATCAACTTCTTGTCTCAGAGAGTCACATGTTGCAGGGTCAGCTCTTCTGATATGCAGCTCAGGAGAGCATAAACTTCCAAAATGCTCCACTGAATCAGAGCCCCAGCAGCAACATTAACAAATCATTCACCTTCTCCCCTCCCTCCAAAGAAAGGACAGCTTGTTCTCATAACCATTTGAGTCATTGATCTGTACCGGAACAGTAACAAGAGCCAGCATTTAAAGAGCAGAAAATTACTGTGTTTTACAAAGGAGAATTAAAAATTAAAATTAATAAAACAAAACAATGGCAGCCCTGTTCTGAGTCCAGCCGTGGAAAGCGAACAGACTGAAGATGGGTTGCCTGGAGGAACATAAGGCAGAGCACTGGAGCATGAGGCAGGATGGAGATCTGCACTGCAGTCATCGATCAAGGGCCACCCTGGCTTCAGGAACAAACTCAAGTCCCACAGGTCTCCATCAGTTGGAGGGCTGACCCAAGAACTCCTCCATCTCAGGGCGTGGAACAGTTTTGGAGGGTCAAGGCACCCTGGGAAGGTAAAGGACTTACCCTGGCCCTGCAGGATGGTGAAATGTAGTAGTAGTTCCCGGAATCTCCAAGCATGATGCGGTGCTTGCAGGTCCTGGGGAGGCCAGTTAGAGCACATTTCCTGCAGACAAAGAAAAAAACACTTCAGCCTTTAGCAATCCAGTGGCACAGCAGAGCAACTCAACAACCTCAAGACTATCCCAAAGAGATGGAAGTGGGAGCTCAGAAGCCAGACCTGCGTCAGTCAGCATGAAGAGAAAAAAACACAGCTGATATGAACCTTTTGCTCCTAGGAAGATTCCATAAACAGCAAGTTTAGGAGACCTTAGGCTAAATATCTGGAACCATTAATTATTCCATGCCCAAACAAACCAAGGCTGTACCCTTTCCCTGGCAGGCAGCCCAAGACAAAACCACAGAAAATATTTAAGTGTGACTGGAGCAGAGTATAACAAACGTTATCTGGTCTGACATCTCCTCTATGTTCCAGAAAAGGCTTTTGCTGAAGGAGTTCTGCTCAGGTTTATCAGCTTTCCTGCTGGGATGCATACAAGCCAGCCAGGGACCAAATCTGGTTTCAGAACAGGTAATTCCAGCTTTTGAGCAGAATTTGCTCATACTGAGAACTCAAAACAAGCCACACTGCAGCCTGTATGCTAGCCTCCTCATGTGAAGCTACTCTAGTTGAAGCCATACACAGTGACTTTGTACTGTCTTCAGGGGACTCCACTGCAGTACAGTGGAAAAAGACTCCTGATGGTCACTCTTGGCTTGGTTGGTACCACTTGGTGTAATCCCAACTATCATAACTGTAGATTGAAGCAACCTAAACCACAGCATGTGGACACCTGCCTTTCCTGGGGCATTTTGCTGAGCATGCCATTGTGGAAGCCAGTTGTCCTCAGCACCTCCTGCCCAGCATTTTGGTCGGATGCCGTATAGGCAATGTCACACAGCGGTTAACTCGATCTCTACCTGTCTACACTCCTCAAACTGTTGCACTGAGGTCTGCATAGCAGAGGACAGACAAGCAGGTCTGGTAGGTCCCAGCTTGGGCAGGGACCCCAGCTTTCTCCTTTCTGCTCCCCAGTGTGTTCAAAGGTGCCATAAAAATCAGTTTTTTGCATTTGAGGGACAAATGGAAACAAATCTCTTTGGGGTCCTTTATTGCCAATAACAAGGTTCCTTACCACCCTGAGTGAAAATTAAACAGGGTTAAAAAGTTAGCTTAGTTCAGCTCTCCCCTCAAAGCCGCTAAATGTACTAAGTTAGTAACTTGTTAATGGATTAGACATCTTTGATCACTGACTAAAAAATAAACACTTCACTTACGTTACAATTTGTGACCGGAACCCACTGTGAAGACAAAAAAAGAAAATCAAAAGGAAACCAATAAGGATAAACACAGGATGGGTTGTTCTCGCAGCAGGCCTGACACACGTTTACAGAACAACTTGTCTAGAGACGACAGAAAATGTAGAGGGTAGTAGAAAGGCTGCATGCAAGCAGAATTGACTGTGACAGAAACACCTTTGCCTAGCAGGTGCTCTGCCTGAAGGTAAGGGGAGAAGAACAAAGAGAGAGCCCTGACTGAACTTAAATTCAATAAAATGCCCTATCTTGGTCTGGAAGATCATGTCACTCCTGCTAGTGCTCCCTTTCTTTGAGTAAATCTCAAGTTGTCTGCTACATCAGATACAGTCACACAGCTCTGGAGCAGCCATATCCCCATTTCTGATGGCAAGGAGACAGCATCGGGTGGGGAAGACTGTGTGCAGCAAGAAAAGAGCTCTTCTGACCTTGGCTCAAACCCGCATGGTGCACCAGCTAGACCAGGAGTGCAAGGTGGGCTCAGACCTCGCAAGATGCAAGAACATGAGAGAATGTAGCTCTGACTTAACCCTTTCACCCTAGGTTATGCACAAACACCTTCAGAGAACATTAAACCACTTGGTACTTTAAGAGGGAAAAAAACCAACCAAAACCACACCACCTTTCCCAAGCCAAGGGCACCACACATCACTAGGTTATCCCTCAAAACAGTCAATGACAGCTCAGCTGATGTACTGAGCTAATTCTCCTTCTCATGTAAAGAGTTGAGCTGAACGACCACTGGTCACAGGCCAGGAGAACGCTCAGCTGAGCCCTTGGAACTGTTCAACTCAACTGACCGAGCAAGGCCTGGCCAAACTCCACCAGATGGTAAGGAGAGACAAGTAGCAAGGAGAGGACAAGGGAGCACAAGCAAAGTTCCTTACTTAGGCCCACCACGCTCTTCTGCTGACATCTTCACCACAGGCAGCGTCTGGGAAGCGATCGGCTCAATGGTGAGTGTGTTCTGCTCCACAGCCACTCGCACCAGCTCCGACAGCTGTGGCAAAGAGAAACAAGTGCAGATGTGCACGTGCAAAGGTCACCTCTGCAAAGGCGCAGCTTTGGTGTTGCCAGACTGCACAGCTTTCGTCCTTCTTTTCCAGCACTTACCTCCTGCTTAGTGAAGTCCAGACAAGGTCTTACATCTTCTTGGTAAATTCTGTCCAGAAAGGAGCAGGATTTATCCAAAGTTGGAGATTCCTTCCAGGCCTGGAACTCAGCAAATAAAATGGAGTCGACCTGCAGCAAGTGTCCAAGAAGAGCAAGAAGAGGGAAGGTGGGTGGATGGCAAGATACCATATCAGAAGGTATCTGTTACCATGCAGGTAACCCATGAAACATCTGCTTTGGCATCTCAAAAGGCTCAGATATCACAAGTATCTGAGGAAAGCTGCCTTGCTCCAAGGGTCTTTCATCTCCCACACACCAGCAGTTGTGTGCCAGACTGACACAGCCATAGCGGCCTTATTCTGCCAAAAATCTGTAGACACCTCTTTATCCCATCTTCCTCCAGGACAGAGCAGCACCTTTGCTGCAAGAAAGCCAGCACACAACCACCAAATAGACCAAAATCCCACACAACCCATGGCAGGAATGACAAGAGCAGCTGAATTACAAAGCACAGTGGCAATGGCACCCAGAACACAGGAGGCAGAACCCCTCTGTAAGGAAAGGATTACTATAGAAAAGGATGGGTTGGAAAATACTATTAATAAAGAGCCATCAGCAGGATTACATCCAGTGAGCCCAAGTATGAGCTCATAGGCGAGCTAGCCCTTTAAAGACCACTCCAAGCCCAGAACTCTGGTGTTTGCGGAGTTGCAGAAGTAATGGGAACACTGAGTGGCCACACAGGCTTGCAGAATCAAGCTGAGTGTAGGAAACGAGGTCTCTCAAAAGGAGCTCAGAGTAGGAATGGCTTTCTCCATTCTAACATCTGCTCATTGCCTTCTGCAGGTGTGCTTGCAAGCACCATCGCTCCTCAGCAGCAAGGGACTCAAGAAAGAGCTTGCTCTCATCCTCCGAGCCAGCACGGAGGTTGTTTCCTCCATCCCTGTTTGACTGAAAATACTTCAGTCCTGGAGACTCTCTGGAACCTGACATTTAAACCCCCAGAGGGTTTAAATGATCATTAGCAGAACCACCAATCTGATTGACAGGGCATCTCCTCAAACAGCCAGCAAATGCTGTTAAAGCTGCTGAAAGGCAAAACAAAACGAAAGAAATCCTGCTGAGCAACACAAAGAACATGAGAGAAGAAAGCTGAAAAAGGTCTGGGTTCTAGCACACTCGCTCTGTGATATGGAGACTGCTCACCTGGTAGCACGAGACAGCTTTAGAGCCAGAAGATGGAAAAACAAATTAAGAAAAACACAAAAAATAAAACAAGAAGATGGAGGTTAGCATAAAAGGAAGCTAGAACTGAAAGGCTAGAAGCGCGAGAGGCAGATGGGTCCCAACCTCCCCCAGTGCTGTTCAGAAACGTTACCTGCTGCAGGGATGAGGAAGCATCTGCCCCCAAGGCCTGCCAGTCTGGTTCATAGGTGATGTGGATAGCCTTCCCAGGGATGAGACAAAGGAGCAGAGAGAGGAGAGCAGGTAACCCAGACTTTGAGAGCAGAGGAAGAGACAGACAGTGAAGGAAAAGGTTTAGAGACAAGCAAGAAAGGGAGGTAAAAAACATGAGACAAAACAGAAAGTACAAATAAAGGCTCAAGTCCTCCCTTGCAGGCAACTAAGAGTGCTGCTCAAGACAACACAGAGCCACAAGCCACACCTTCTCACTTCAGCCTGAGGTGCAAAAAGGGAACAGAAATTATGTCCTTTTTAGGCTCAGTTTAACATGGGGCATGTCTTTTCCATGGAGCATGAAGCACCAACTCTCTGAATGCCAAGTTCCCTAGGCCACTAAGGAATTTGAGAGATGGAAATAAACAAGTTAACAGAAGAACACCCCACCCTTGATACATAAAGTTATCACACTTCGGAAGATGTAGCCCTGGGATTTTAAGCTCCAGGATATCTGCACCATGTGGAAGTTACCCACAAAAAGAAATGACAGGTCTAAAGTCTTTAGCAAGCAAATCACTCACTGTCAACATGAGCTTTGCTGAGACCAAGCCAAGAACAGCAAAATGAACTACCCAATAGGCAAAAGTTCTCTCTGCATACTGTAGGCAGAGGGCAACCTCCACAGGGTAGTCAGTGGTTCACTGAATTGGACTGCTTGGAGCTCCTCTGTTCTGACTGGAGGAATGGTTAGCATTAAGGTCATAGGACCTTAAAAAGATTGAAACCTTTTTCTTCCTATCCCTCAAAGCAGCTTCTACCTGACTGCGTTTGACTCCAACTTCCAGCGTATCTGGACTGTTCCTTACTTGACCAAGAGAAACGAGTGCATTAGGCCTTCGCAGCTACTGAACTGATTTTACCCTTTGGCTTTCTCTCTGACATAGCCTTTGCTCCTCTCTGCCTGCAAACAGAGCTGAAGATCTTCATTTCTCGTTGCTATTGCTGTCTCAGTACAATGGCTACAGCCTACATTGCCTGAAGCATTTCATCCAAACTCTAGCAACAAGAGCACTGTGCAGAAGCTGACAAGGCACGTTCATTGAATCCGTCACAAAAAGTAGACATCACCAGTGTTGCCAACACAGTCCTGTTTGGTGAGAATATTAATTTCACATGTGGCCCTTCTGCATATGTGACCAGGTGCCTTCGTGCTACCTCAACAATTCTTCATGACAGAAGCTACAGCTCCCAGAGAATCACTAGGGAGACATAATGCCCCACCACATTCTCACTCATTTTCATTCTTCCAGACCAAGTACCATAAACTGCCTCCTTTCTGCTCCCCAGGACAGCTGTGTACACATCTGGCTAGTGGAAAGTTCCTAGACTGCAAGATGCTGCTATCAGGAAGAAGCATTAGCTATACCCATGATAAGAGCATGTAGGGGACTACCAAAGGATCATCGAAGGGAATTAAACAGGGTTTGTTTGAAAGATATTCACCAACGCCTTATATGCTTCTCTACCCAAAACCTTCCAGTGAGGAAGGAATTAAATATAATTAATTAAACATATGCTGTGCAAAGAAGAGGAATAACAGTGACATGCCCAAGAACACAGAACAAGTGACAGAGACTACAGGTTGATGGAGGTGCCCTAGTGTCTAAGCCAAACTAGGCAGAGAGAAGAAACAACAGCAAATCATGCCAGAACAGGTCGTGGACTTAACTGCCAAGATGTAGCAAACAATTGGTTTCTGCTCAGTAACTCCTGACATATCCACTCTTCACACTGGTAACTCCTGGATCTGTCCATGCCCTCCAGGAATCCCTCAACTGCTTCCTCTAGCAGTTGTCCTGACTCAGCCTTCAACCTGCTTCCCAGAAGAGGAACTCTCCACAAATGGAAACCCTCCAGAGCCTGCCTCAGCACAAATTTAGGGAACAAGCCACACTGCTGCACCAACAGCTTCTCCCAGCAGCAAAATCACAGAGCTTTCCCGGAAGCCCAAGCCAGAAGCCACACAGCTCCCTCAGTGCAGTGACAGGAGTGGCTCCAAGGCCAATGTAGTGAAAGGCCCTCACCCACCTCTTTGCACTCATGACTGACTGGCTCTGGAGTCACATTTTGGCTGGCAGCAGAGACCATTGCACTGCTGGTGCTTTTGTTTCGCCCATGGCCCTTCCTGAAGACAGCTTTAGAAGGGCTCTGGAGCTGAGGGTGCAGCTCCCGGTTCGGAGAGGAAGGTGTGGATGTGATCACCAGTGTCTTCAGAGCTGTCACCTCTGCCTGCAGCATGTCAATCTGAGGAGACAAGGCAACAGTCAACAGCACCTTCAGCACCTCCTGAGCTTGAGCTTGCCACACCTCACCAAACCACAGGGAACCAGCCACAAGCTCAGTCATGAAACTTTCTCCCCATTCTCCCAAATGCTCAACATCACCCAGAATTTTAAACAGGGCTAAAGAGAAGCTATTCAGCAACCCATCCCTCTGGCTCCTCGGTTTAAGCACATTTTGCTCCAAACCCTTTTAAGATCCAATAACCCAAAAGAAATGTTTTCTCCTTAAGAAGGAACCAGTTGAGCAGCCCTTTGATGCATCCTTGACAGGAAATTCCAACTCCCCAGCTCCCTGCTCTATCCATCCCCATAGCTGAAACTATTAAACAATGTAGAGTTTCTCTTTGGGTCCCCAGGCATCCATTTCTCAAAGAGAATCTGGATCAGCCACAGACTGCAAGGATACTCCCCCCCCACCTCACTCAATGTCTGCTGGAGAGGGAACAGACCAATGCAGCATTTCAGAGAGACCAAGCTGCAGGCACTTTACTCTCCTCCAGCCAACAAGCAGCACCATGGCCAGGCTGGGCAGGGATGGCACCAACCTGGCACAGAGATCAAGTCACAGAGAGTGCAGTTCTCACCTTCCCCCGTGCCTCCCTCAGCTGTTTCTCTGACGCCGCCTGTTTAGTGTTTGCTTCTCTCACCATCTTGTGGGCTTCCTGGACCAGAGAGAATTTTAGTCTGCCTGTTGCAGCCCCAACTCATAAAGCCACCAGGGCACAGCAAAGCTCTGCCATATCGCATGCTCTGGGCAAGCAAGCAGGGGGACAGACATCACTGCCACATCCAGGGGTTTTACTGTCAGCTGTGAAGAGCCTTCACCCAGAATTGCCAGAGCCTGGAGTGCATCCCCCTTCAAGGAGCACAGCTGGTTAAATTGCTTAGCTGCTGAGTCCAAGGTCACCTCCTTCACTGATACGGGCTGCTGTGAAGAACTAGAAGCAAGGACCTGCCCCTCCTTGCCCTTGGAAATTACTTGAAAGCTGAGGCTTCAACATTAGCACCCACCTGCACTACATGACAGCTGTGTAGCAGCTGTGTCTACACCCAGTCCCATACCTCTGCAACTCTGTCCCTGACTCACGGTCACTAGCTTGGCTTCCTGACTTGACCTGCGTTGTCACTGCAGACTTGCTGGTTGATCCCTGAACTGTTTCCTGACCTTGATCGCTGTCTGTGACACTGATCCTGATCCAGACTTGCTGCTCCACATCTTGGCTCCTCACTGATGAGGTCACTGCTCTTGCCTGACTTCTTGTTGCCCTTTGCTCCTATGTCCTTCACAGAGCGGTCAGCCCTCACTGCTCCGAGCATGGCTGCAACACAGCAGGAGCTGTAGCTCAGATAGGGGTCAAATAGTAAAGGTTAGTTTAAAAGGATCTCCCACAGGAAGGGGGGAGCAGTGTGAGTCCCAGCTGGGGCCTTCACAGCACTGTCTGGAAGCATTCTGTCCAAAGTTACCAAAGGAATGGGGCAGCTCTCAGCTACGTTATCTCTAAGTTCTCCCTGAGCCCAGGCAGTCAAATCTCCAGGAGGGGGATGCTCTCTTGGCCCTTACCCTCAGCACCAGCCTGTGTTGCAAAGGTACAGACAGGCTCTGGGCTTTCCTCACTGCCCAGTCAGATCCACACATTAGAGCTGCTGGTGAACGGGAATTTGCCAGGATAGAGCTTGGCAAGAATCACATTACAAAAGCCAACCAAATAAAAAACACCAAAACCAAACAAACACCTCCAACAAAACAAAACCAAAACCCAACCAACAGGCCTTCTGAACACTCACTGGAGCAGAGTATATGAGGACACCCAGCTCGTTCCCACCCCAAGCAAGGGCCAACACGAGCCAGGGAATCATCTCTATTACACAGCAGCCTGCTGTCCAGACGAGAGAGCAGGCATGGGAGAGGGACAGGAGCTATGCTCCAGTTACAGGAAACCCCACATCTGTTCTTGCTACCAGATGTACAGAGCCATAACTGCTGTGCTCTTTATGCCACCCCACAGCTGCCAGAAGGGGAAAGGAATGCATGCAAGCTCTCCCTAGAAGCAGGTACCAGCCCCTGCTCTGAGGCTCTGCCTGCAGCACTGCCCAGCTCTGCTTCTCCAAGTGGGAAAGAACAGCAGGGAAAAGGAGGAAACTGTGGGAGGAGATACAACTGTGGCTAGAAGTTCAGGGAAAGCTTGTCTTAAAGGAGCTGGATGCAAGCTTAGCTTAAAAAACAGTGGAAAAAGGAAGAAGGCAGTACCTCAAATAGGCTAGCTGTTAACTCCTCCAGTTCCTGCTCCAGTTGTTCTCTGACTTTTGACAGTCTCTCACACTCTTTGTCCTTCAGCTTCAGCTCCTGTCGAGGAAATGGAGAGGGACACGTGAGCTCACAGCAGGCCCAAGTAGTGCTGATGCCTGCCAGCCCCCACCTGTCAACACAACCTTTCCTCCCCACCCCAGTACAGATCCCAGGCCCAAGACTCCTGTTGCTAAACTCATGTACCATGCTCCACGTCACCAAAGGCGTCCCTTCACAAGTTGTAGCAGGCTTTTCAGGCTGGAACTGCTCATCTGCCATTAGCAAAGAGGGTCCACAGTAAGCACTGCCTGTCTCAAGCTGCCTTCTGCAGCACGTTTCCAGGACAAATTTGGATGCTGGCACGGAGGCTTTGGGTCAACCTAGCAAATGTCCCGCTCCACAGCGCTTTATGGCCACCTCAGCTCAAGCTCTCCCCTCTTCTGCTTGCTCCAGACTGCAGCATGGCCCGCTCCCCTCAGCACCACCTCTAGGAAAACCCTCACTGCTCAAATCTGTGCTGCCATCTTCAGGTGCTCTCACAAACTCTGGGTCTTACCTTCTGTGCTTTGTGCAGCTCTTCCTTCAGGAATTCAGACCCCTTTTCACGGATCTCCACTGAAGAGCTGCGTAGACGTGACACATTGAGCTGCTCGGTGGACTGGGTCTCATCCACACCTCCAGCATCCTGGCATGCAGTCTCCTGGCCCTCCTTGCTGTCTTTGGATGGCATCAGTGGCTTCCAGTGTCCCACAGCTGGTTGCATCCGGCTGTCTTCCTCAAAATTGGCCTGGCTGTTGGGTACCAGCACATTGAAACTTTACATGGGGGCAATTCACAGTTTTCCACTAACACTCACAACACATCCACCCCCAGCCTCTCACAGGCACTGCACTGAGGCAAGGAGGGTGACAGTGTATGAAGAGGCCATGATTGGCTTAAAGGACCTGCTTTGTGCCCAGCAGCAGCCCCAGCTCCTTCACCCTGCATGCAGGCACTACCTCCCTATTGAAGTGCTTCACCTTTTTGGCATGGATTGCTTTCAGGCCAGCAACAGACAAGGAGACAACGGCCTAAAGTAAAGGCTTGGAGGGAAATCTCCACTCCTGCCCTGGGATCTTTAAGAATCACACCAAGTCCAGTTTGAGATGCCCACCCTGTCTGTGCTCCTTTTAAGAAGGGCTGGGTTCTCAACAGCAAGTACTCCCTCACAGCTAATGCTGGATACAGAAAAACTTAGTAGGTAAAGCAATACTATTAGTAACCCCTCATGTTATGCTTCCCAACCAGCATGTCCCAGTTACTCTTAACTCAGGATAAAGCAGGAGAACTAAAGACATCTGCTCCAGGAATCCTGTTCTCACCCACTTTCAGAGAGAAGCAGACTGCAGCTTGTTTAGAACTCCAGTATACACCCAGCACACCTAACTTCAGAGATGTGCTTCCCCAGCTGCAGGGGAGTACCAAGAAAAAGACAATACAGACCTCTCATTCCCTAGCAAGATACAGGCTAATCCCCTTCACTGTAAACCCAGCCTTCCTCTCCACCCTACCCTTGCCTCAGAGGGGAAGGCTCTACTTTTAACCTCCTGGTTTCCCACCAAAGCCCTTCACAGATCAGCTAAACCAATGTATTTCCATTGAGCTGAGATGAAGCTCTATGTTCTATTTTCAATGGTTGGCAAGTAGAGATGTACTGGAGAGAGGAAACCCACAGAGTAACCCAGGACTCTGTTCCCCAGCGCTCAGCAGGACTTTGTCGACTGTCAACAGGCTAACACAGACACTGGAAGATGAATTTAGTAGGCACTGCAGCTGTTGGCATCTTACAAGAGGAAAACACAGGCTTGTACATCACCCCTTCTTCATGTATTGAACTGCCCTCACGTGGTCACTTGTCATTTGAAGCTAGCAGGAGCATGATCAAGCTTGCACACATGGACGCTTTCTATCATGTCCAGCCACTCAGCAGGACACACAGAGCGCTCTACAGATTAACCTGCTGCCAGTTATCTCTGGGTCACAAGCCCTGGCTGAGCTGTGGTGCTATCCTCCTCCATGCACATCACCACTCCCTCCTCCAGCACAGCACGCTACTTCTGGCTGCTGCTTCTTGCCTACTACCTTCTCCTGCAGAGAAGCTATCTCCTTCTTTTGGTTAGGTTCACTTTCTGGTCTTCCCTTTTCCTGATCTCTGTGTTTTCCTCTCCTGAATCTGCCCTATGTCCTGTATTCCCGTCAGGCCACGTTCTCCTCCCTCCTTCTGACTCCAGCCCCATGCTGCACAATCAACTGCACAGAAACCATGAGGCCCAACTACTGACAGGTCTTCTTCTCCCAGGTTACGTCACCCAGCAACAGCATGCTGCTAGCACCTTTTCTACTCAAATTGTCCCCTTTCTGCCACCTCGAAAGCTGTCCATGAGCAATAGCTGTCCACAGTCATCTTTCAAAGAGGGGAAAGAAGTAGCAGCTACCAGCTAATTCAGCTCAGGTACCACATGTGGAAAAGCACACATCGAAAACCCTCTGAAACCTTGGAAGATGAATGGCACAAGATGATGCCATGCCATGCCAACTGGATGCAGTTGGTATCACAGATTTTGCTGACCTCTCTGTTGAGCAAGAATGAATGAAAGCACCAGCATGGCCACACAGCAGTGCTAAGAAGGTAGGGAAGGACAGCAACTAACTAGTGTCCCATTGACTTCACCTGGTTTTACTGAACATTGACTGGGAAGATCTAGAAAAGGAGGCTCACCTTGGTGATACAACTGAATTTGGAAGCGTGGAAAATAACACACAAGAGTGCCTTGGAGAAAGCGCAAGAAAATAACATTAGTTTTGGCCAGAGAAAAAAGGACAGGCCGCGTCCAAGCAAAGTTAATTCATCTTGCGCTATGTGGCATGCTGGGACTGCTCGATGAAAGCAATACGCACAAACACAGAGGGATGTGCCTGAGTGAGTGAACCACGACCAACAGGTACTCCCAGACTGGGTAGGCATCTATGATTTGAGGTGCGAGAGAGCAAGCAAGTGTGAACTACATGGTGTTCAGAGTGTGCAGTGCCGGCTCCGTCCAGTTCAGCTGCTCTGTTGGCATGTTTGGTCAATCAGAGGAAACGCAGAACTGCACAGGAGAAATATAATGGTTCAGAAAGGTCAAGATTAGCTACATGGATCGCTTATCTAAACAGTGACATCACTAATGGGACAAGGAGGTCTCCAAAGGCTCCACACACTAAGGAAGCAGAGGGATGAAGCAAGAGGATGACACAAAGGAAGGAATGAAACCCATTACAGGAAGGTGGGGACCTAATGAGAGCAATTCATCCCTGCCACAGAGATCAGGGGAGTCTGTCTGCAATGGATTTGCCCCAGAGCAGGGGAAGCATGTCCAACAGAGAGGTCTGTTCAACAGTTAAACCATTTCTTAAGTGGCAGGGCAGAAGCCCTCTCTGCTGTGGACTTTTGAGATTAGACAGGGTAAGCTGCAGAGAGCACCTCTCCAGGTACTCCTGCATCAGAGAGGAAAAACACCAGAAGGGATGCAGCCAGTCCCAGCACCTCCAGCTTCTGTGATCAGAAGGAAAAACCAGAAAACAAACAACAAAGAGAGCACAGAGGAAAAGCTAGATGAAAAAATAAAAAAAAGCAGTAAGGAAAAGGAGCATTTCCACAGTCCACTAAACTACTAGGACAGCCAATCTAACCCATACATAACAGGAAAAAAAAATGTTGTTTCTATACGACTCTCAAGCTCTCAGATGAAAGCTGTTTGTCTTGGGAGACAGGTACTCCAGTGTACTTCCACACGCTATGGAAGAAAACTGGAGGACAGGGAGAAATGGAACAGTCCCACCCACACTCCGTTAACGCCAAGGGACCTAAAAACCTATCCAGAAAAACCATCCCATCTTCTGTAACAGAACAGCACATTCTCCACGCCATGCAAACGGAAACCCCATGAAAGCCCTGGCTATGGTGGCTTCTGCTCAGCTGTTTCCCCAGCTCTTCAGAGCTGGGGCCCTGAAGTATGCGCCCCCCCCCCCCTCCCCAGAGAGCAAAGGACCGCCACGTCCACTCGCACTCCCTCGCTATCACCGGGCTCACTTGTGGCTGCCGTCCTCGGAAAAATGTCACATACCTTAAAGGTCCCACACTGACGCAAGAAATGCAAACTCATAACAAAAAACCCCCGAAAACAAACCCAACACCCCACAACCTCCTAAAGTAGGATTCTGTAGAAAAAGCAAAAAAATGTGCAAGATCCACACTTTTTCCAGCGGGCCCCACATGTTTCCTGTAGTGCTGATCTGGCGGGGTTATTTCCCATACAAACAGCCTCTAGGTCTCTCCAGGGTAATCTCTTACCCTCTGGTTTATGAAGAGGACCCAAATTTCCCATCTCGACCAGGACAGAAAGCCCGACTTCTGCCACACCGCC